AGAACGAAGCAATTTCCCGCGCGATGTTCGCGCCCAAAAGATCGAACCCGAAACGAAAGAAGCGACGTCACATTTATTAATCGCGCGCGTGGTGGAGCGCCAGACATCCATCCGACCAATCTCCCAACCGGCTATCCCCGGACACACCCGGCCCCGAAGAAGCGACGAAGAAGGAAGGGTACTAATGCAATTTTCCATCGATCCTGATTTCCCCGGAAGTGGCCCAAACTTCCCAGCTTAGGACCCCTCGTTGCAACCGCGCAGAAAATCGCGCGTTACAGAAAGTGGTTCGTCACATATGTGACGCCCAGAGGGTTCCAATATTAGCAAGTTCCTGCTTGCTTGTTGACACGTGTCGATTTCTCTAATCGATCGACACGCGGAGCAATTCTCTGTATGCCACTTACCGTTCGATTGCGTGTGGACGTCATCCAACGTGGCAACTCTGCTCTTCTACCAGTTCCTCAGATTGGGCTCTTTGACGATCTAAGGACGGAATCTTTCTCGTGCCGTCGCCGAGACACGCATCCATTACCTGCTGTATCAGTAATTAACGGGGAGGGGGAAGGGAAGTCGATACATGGCGATATGGCGGGGTGGAGGGTTTGTGGGCAGCGGGGGCAGGAGACTTTCCATTCCGGATACAGTCTTTGGGAGTTCTTGGTAACAAATAATGCGATGGAAACGGGGGAATCGATTGCCAGTGCGAGGGAGGGACGCGAGATAGTCGGGGTAGAGGGTGGTAAAGGTTCGGAAGAGCGCCGCGCGGAAACAATCGAGATCTTCGCATGCGGGGATGGTCCCCGTTATTATGCAATAAACCTCAATCATATTGTGGCCTCGCCACGCGGCACTGAGAAGCAAGACATGGAGGCAAAAGGCCGGGACGGCGCATCGAAGGGAGAGATGGGGATGCACTACGACAGCGAGGCGAGCGGCGTAGAAGTGGCGGAAGGTACTGCGGGGGAGCGGATTGGAGGGGAACGTGACGGGGGTGGTGAGCTGGCGAAGGGTGAGGTAGTCAAGGGGACGGCGAGAGAGTGATCGGGGACGAAGGCCGCTCGCCCATATCGGTACGTTGGCGAACTGGGGGACGGGTTGGGGAGGAGGGGGATCGGCTTCGTCGCCATGCCGATGGGGCCGGAGTCATGGCCGCGAGGTCGCCATCTTCAGGTCGGGGCGGCGCCGGATCTCGGTGCGGGTCGTCGCAGATCTGCAGATCTCTTCTCTTTTACAGGCCGCCTCGGGATCCTCTGCCTCGGTACCTGTGCGCAGCGCTTCTTCCGGCACGGCGTCCCACTCTGATTCAGCTGGCTCTTCGTCGTGCTCCTCTTCTCCTTCGTCACTCTCTTCCTCTTCTTCGCTCTGCTCCCCTTCGCTATGCTCGGTATAGCTTCCTTCTTCGGGGGTTTCGTCCTCTTCTCCGAGTACTTCGTCGCTTTCCCCACTTTCTTCCCATTCGTCTTCTCCTTCGTCACTCTCCGTGCTTTCTTCCTCCTCTTCTTCTTCTCGAATGGCAGCAAGTTGTTTTGCCGTTGGATGCCTGAAGAAGGCAAGATCGCGAACCGTCCGGGGATCCAAATACTGCCGCTGTGACGGCGGGATGCGCTTTGCGGCTCCCTCCACACAAGTCGACCACTGGAGATACGGCGTGAACGTGCGAGAAAGTACGTGAGGAATCGGGTGCTCATCGTCCTGCGAGATGATGTCAAGAGGGAGATCATCCGCCAGCTGCGCTATCGGAATCGTGAGCTCTTGTGTGATAAGCTCCTGATGGCCGGGCCTACTTGACCGAATAGGAATGCGAGGAGCTCTCCCTCCACGTTGGTGCGCCAGGCATGGATAAACAGCAACTCTAGTCGCTCTATGCAAGGCGGGTGTGCTTTGCCCTCGGTCCACGTCAGCCGTACTTCGACCAAGCACAGGGAAAGCTCGATAAAGTCTTCGCGCCACTCTTCCCAGTGTGGGGGATGAATGTCAGGGACGACAAGGGTCGTTAGAGAGTAGGAAAGGCGAGGATGGATATCGGACTGCCAGAAGGTGGGGAAGGTGGAGGGGAGATCAAATACGGAGATCGGAGAGAGACTCATTGGGGCCGATAGAAAGGAACAACTACAGGGAGAATCGTCGGTGGATCACGCTGGTACATCCGAAGGCCGTCGTATTCAATCGCTAGTGTCAGCGTGACTGTGTCCCCGGGGCGAGCCAGAAGCTGGGTCCACTCGGCGACCAGATCGTTTGCCCACGCGCGCAGCGATGTCCTCACCGCCGAATGTCGTAAGGGGAGGAGCGTGGAGAGATCGCCACTGAAGTTGGTGACGATTGATATGCGGCTGACACCTGGCACCGCTCGCTGATGAACTGCTACTGCCTCGGCCAATACCACTGCATTGGGCCGGCCCTCGATTCTGAACACCGCCGCTGCATACACGCCTTCCGTACAGAAAAAGTGCGCAAGCCGCTGAAGATCTGGACTGAGGTGGGAATGATAGACTTGCCGGATCGTTAATCGATCGCGGGGTGCAATCGATGCTTCGCTGAGGGCTCTTTCCTCCAGAAAACTCATGGCGATGGCGATGGAGACGCAGAGACAGAGAGGGAGCAAGAGGAAGAGGGGGATGGGGGAGAGTCAAAGTCGTCGTCTTCTGCTTCCTCAGAGGGTGAAACAGAGGGAGAAGGAGACGGAGCAGAGGGAAGGAGGCGAAGATAGGATACGTGGCGCGTGATCGGACGAGCCGATCGACTGCCAGAGACTTCAGGGGCGAGACGCACGGTGTCCACGCCGTTGGGGCCGAGCTCGATCACGCGATATCGTCCGAAGAATCGTGGCGCTAGCTTACCCTGGCGAGCACATTTCCTCACCTGCACCACGTCCCCCAATTTCTACTGGGGCCGTGGACCCGCATTCCCATTTCGAGCCTCGTCGCTCCGGATTTGTTGGCCTTGGGCTAGTTCGGTCATTTTCTGTCGTTTTCGGGCTAACCTGGGCAGTGACCGTCCCATTAGCTCTAGGTGGCCTTGTCCCGAGCCTTGGCCCTGGTGGGCCGTCGGTTTAATGTAGTCTCATCCGGGAGGTTCGGTATTGAAATGCAAGCGACACTATTGGTCCTTAATTGGAAGGGGCTTAGCCTCGTCGATTCGTGAGGCGTTTCGCGATGGAACGCGAGGATGTGATCGACGATATCGGGCCAAGGTCTCGGATCCCGTGCCGCGATGTTTCGTCGCAACACTGTCTTTATCACCCGGTTAGCGTTTTCGACCAGTCTGTTGGACTGTGACATGTGAGGCACAGTGTTCCGTATGGCGACGCCGTGTAGGACCAGATTCCTTAACACTTCTCCACTGAATTCAGCCCCATTGTCGGTCAGGATTTCTTCCGTGTCCTGATGCATCCCGAGGAAACGGTTGACATACCGCGCGATTTCCGTGGCTTGCCGCATGCGACAAGGATACGCTTCGATCCATTTCGAGAAATGGTCGACAAATACCAATAGGATTGAATATTCGCAGCTATTAGGGCCCTGGGGCACCACTATGTCGGTAGTGTCCATGCTCACTCTTTGAAATGGCCGTTCAACAACTGTGGGTACTATCGATCTTGGTGGCTGAATCGGCGCCTTATCAGCGGCGCAGACTTGGCAGTTGGCGACAATGTATTTTACATCGTCGAGGATATTAGACCAATACCACTCATTTTTGTCGATAGCGGACTCCGTGATCCGTACGGCAAAATGGGCCGCAGTTTCCTCATGGGCGGTCTTAACCCAGTCATACCGCATGAACGGATGCAGCACTACCATCCAAATTCCACTGCCGTCCGTTTTCCGTTTTTCTAATCTACCTTCTATCCGTCGATAATCCCGAGCCCTTTCGTTGGCCCTCCTCTGATCTTCCTTAGTGAAATCCTGGAGGGGGTTACCTACTAGGGTGGCAATCAAGGCAATATCCGTCCATACTTCGGCCCTTCTAAACTTCCGGGTTTTTTCCAACCCTTCTGACGTGGCATCCCAAAAGCGAGCCTCGGTCAGAATCTTGTCAGTCCGGCACAAGGGGCACAACCATGGTTTACTATCATTTCTGTATTGGATGCACGAGCCATGGGCTCGTGCGACACACTGTCAACACTCTATCCAATCTGTATAGCCTTCCCCGTTAGGACGCATGGAGATCGAATAGACGCGGGAGATGGCTTCGCAAAAATATCAAAATTTGTTAGGCAAGGAGAGGAGAGACGAGGAGGAAGGGGGAGAGAGAGGGGTAGTGGGGTTAGCGTCGTCACCCATCGCCACCGTTTGGCTTCTTGCCACGTGGGAGGACTGCCACTTGTTCGTAATTTGGTTCGTTGGTCAGGTCCGGCTCCTTCCACAGTGTAATTTCCTCGCCCTTGGGTACCTTGGCAGGTCGATGCAGACGTGTCAGCCCGTTCGCGTTGCCGTGTCGCTCTGTCTTTCGATGGACGATATCGAAGTCGTATTCTTGTAGTCGCACCGCCCAACGGCCAATCATGGCCGTGTAGTTGGTGAGCTTCTTCAAAGCTAGCAGGGGCTCGTGATCCGTCACGAGACGAAACTTCTGTCCGTAGAGATACGGATGGAAGTGCTGGATTCCCCAGACCACTGCACAGCATTCACCTTGAGGTGCAGAGTCGTTTCTTTGTTCGTCCGGCACGGTTCGTGACGCGTACTCGATGACGTGTCCGTGACCATCGTTCCCCTTCTGCGCTAAAATAGCGGAAATAGCTTCCGGTTGCCAGTCCGTGATGAGAATGTACTGCTTCGAGGGGTCCGGTCGAATCAGAATAGGGGCAATTGCCAGAGTGTCTTTGAGGGTTGCAAAGGCCTGCTGGCACTCCGCGTCCCAATTAAGAGGTTGGTCCTTCCGTAGCAGATTCGTTAGCGGTCGTGCAATCGCGGCAAAGCCCTTGATGAAGCGCCGATAGTATGACGCCAGCCCCAAGAAGGCTCGAACCTGTGTCAGTGATGTGGGAACTGGGGCTTCCTTCACCGCCGCAACTTTTCTCGAGTCCGGCCGCAGTCCTCCACGTGTCACGACGTAGCCCAAGAACGAAATTTCCGAAAGGAAAAATTCACTCTTCTCAAACGCGATCTTGAACCCCGCGTCTCTCAATGCGCCCAATGTCCATTCGATGTGTTGCGCGTGCCCATGATAGGTCTCCGAATAGACCAGGATGTCGTCCATGTACACGATCACACAGAAGTTGATCATTCCTTGCGTCAGTCGTGTCTTGTTGACGAAATTTTGGAACGTCCTGTTTATCGCTCGCTGAAACGTGGCAGGTGCATTGCAAATCCCCATCGGACATCGTACCCACTGCCACGTGCCCTCAAACAACACAAAGGCCGTTTTCGGGCGATCTTCTTCCCTTACCAAAATATGATGGAAACCATGTCGAATATCAAACTTACTGAAATAATTAGCGCATCCAATCGCATCCAACAGATCGTCAATCCGGGGGAGGGGATACACATCTTTGATCGTGATTTCATTTAGTTTTCGATAATCGATGCAAATGCGAATCACCCTGTTTTTCTTCGGCACTAATACCACGGGAAAGGACCAAGGTCCGGTAGCGGGTTCAATCCAACCGTTGGCTTCGAACTCCCGAATTCGTTCGAGAGCCTTTTTGCTTTCAATCAAGGAATACCGATAAGGTTTGCAATGAATCGGGGAGTGATTTCCTGTCTGAATTTCATGTTGGATTATTAACGACAACCCAATGTCGGTGTCTGACACACTAATTGCCCCTTGGTATTCCGTTAGAATATCCGCAATTACTCGGTGGATTTCATCCGGCACATATTGTGGGACGTGTAGTTCGAAAAGTTGGTCCCAGATCCGAACGTCGATCTGTTTCATGTTCGCCTGTTTTGTCAAATCGGGCGGGGGCGCCGAAATGAATGAATGATCCGATCGCCAGGAGAACACCGTGGCCATCATCTGAGCATCTTCTTCTCGGATCGCCACGTGTCCTTCCGGGGAAATCCCGTCACAAAGATCCTGCCATGGCACTTCCTTAGTTGCGATTTTTATCCCCAGTCCGTCTGTTTCTGCTTCAAAACGCCTAGGGGGCTCCAGAGAGCTTGCTTCCGCCCCCAAGCGTAACAACTTCTTTGGCCGAGGTTAGTAAGGACTTGGGCAGATCCGTAATATCACAGTAATGCTTCTTGTCGCTGTACCGGGCGAGGAGCGGGGCGATTCCTTCGTACAGAGTTTGAGGGGGTTCCAGAGAATCGACCATCCTTGAAATCTGCACGAGGGGCTTGCCTAAGATCATTGCCTTGGTCCTTTGAATTTTTCGGTTGGTCATTTGCATCGTTATTGCTATCGTTTTAGGCGGCGGGTAGTAAACGCGTTGTCGTACCAATTTCAAGATCTCCGGATCATCTTCGTCACTGCTTTCTGTATCATCAGTTGATGACTTTCCTTCTGCGGGTTCGTCCCAGGAGATCATGCGGAGGGTCCCTGCCATCATCGGCGAAACCCGGGGAACCGTGGTAGTAGTAGTGCGAAGGGTCAATCGCATGGGCACAGCATAGGGTTTTCCTCCTGTATTTCGGAGGACGTTCGATCGTCGTTCGAAATCCAAGTTGGCTCGTAATGCCACAAGAGCAGGGAGTCCGAAAAGAACGTCGTACGTATTAACATCTAGTACTACGACATCCCCAAGCGCGTGTACTTTTCCTAATCGGAAGGCGACGTTGGTCATTCTCCCCACGGTTTTAATCTTTTCCTCATCTGCCGAAACGAGCTGATCTTTCTCGGCGAGCATGATCAGATCGTTTTTTTTGCCTGCCCTTTCGACCACTCTCAGTGAAATAGCCAACTCAGCTGCACCCGAGTCTATAATGGCGTTGTAAGGAATTCCCCAAAATTTCTATATCGCACTCCGCAGATTTCCACGGAATAGGTTTAATCCGTAGGAAACGATCGTCTTTCTGAATTAATCCTAACCGTATCGGATCCGGAGTGTTTGTTGGGTCTTCTTCCGGCGCGGGGCCTTTGGCTTTTACGTTCGGTGCTCGGGCGAGAGCGAATCGCTTTCGATTCGCTTTACAGTGTTGTAACATTCGCTTGTTGGCTTGCTCGAAGATCGAGAGTAGATGACCAATCGGAAGGGGGATCCGATGGTCCAGGGCTCGGGTGACGTTTAGTACATCGATCTCTCATGTGACGAAGGTGGGTCCTCCCGACTCCATTTTTCTCAAGGATTGTCACCATTCCGCCGTCTCTCTTGGTTCTGGCGCTGGTCTGATTGTTCCGATCATTCCTAGCCCAGGATATCCCAGCGACACATACTGATCTAGCGGAATTAGCTCGGCGGCTTCTTCCGAAGTAGCCAGGGCACTTCCCCCACCTTCTATTTCTTCGATCAAGGCTCCGACTCGTCCAGGTCCGTTGGAGATGGGAGCCGCGACCATGGGTGCGGCTCCGATCCGCTGTTGTGGGGGTCGATGGGGACAATCACGGGCTAGATGTCCGGGCTGATGACAAGCGCAGCAAACATTTAGATTGTTCGCAACTCCTCCGAGAGCAGGGGCAGGGGCTAATCCTTGTTGCATCGGAGGGGCACGCACCGCGATCGATCGCATGTTCCTCATCATGGCTTCCAGCCGAGCATTGTGCTCTTGCTGTTCCTTTTTGCTTTCTTGGATCAAACTAATCAAAGTTTTGGTTAGTTCGAAAATGGCCGCCGATTCGTTTGATCGTACTGGAGTTTCTACCGGCAGCGGGGGTAATGACGTGGCGGGCGGGGGCATCATAGGAGCAGAGATACTCGAAGTCTCACTTAGGATTACTCGTTTGGGGCCTATCTGTTCCATATAGGTGATAGGTCCTGATACAAACCCCATGTTTTCAAATTTGTTCTGTAAGGAAGCCAGTTCTGCTCTCGCTCGTACGAGCTCGGTCCAGTCTCCGTCTCTAGGGTAGTCTTCTCCTTCCAGGAAGTTCGCTGCGAACTTCCGTTCCATTTCTTTCGCGGCATCCATGATTTGTTGTAGCGTATGAGTGATGGGGGAAAACTGCTTTCGCAACTTAGTCCTTATTGTTCGACTGCAAAGTCCGTCAATGAACAAGTCTCTCCCTACTTGCTCACCTCGCTCAGTTTTTACGAACATCCTGTAGAACCGGTTTCGATATTCCGCAACGGATTCGAGCGGTTTTTGCACTCGGTCCTTGATCATGTACAATGCCTGCTCAGGGTGAACATAATCAAATCGGTTCATAAAATCCCGTTCGAAGGTCGGGAGATCCACCCATACATAGGTACTATACCAATGATGAGCGTCTCCTCCCATCCGAGCCGGAATGTTGATCTATGCTTCGTGGACATCGTACTGTTGTGCTCTAAGCGTGGCTAGCCATGCTTCTGCGAGATGGTGCACCAGATCAAATAGATAGAGATTTGGTGGCGACATGGGAGCTCTTGCACGTGGGGCAGGTTGATTAGGTGGATTAGCATTTTGTGGCGGAACCGGATTTTGCACGTTGGCAGCCATATTGGCTGCTCGTCGGTTAGCCGCTCTGCTTCTGGTGACTATAGGGTCGCGTCTAGGCGCGTTCCGAGGGCGAGGTCGCCCACGGTTAGCCAGGTCGCTTAATTAATCGTGTTATCAATCCTAAAACCCGAGCCACGTGTCGGGCTCCGATACCAACCTCACGCCCGGCGCGACTTCCTGATCGGAGTGGATTGTGGGCCTGGAAGTGCGAAAAGGGGTGTGCCAAGGATTTTTGGGAAAAGTGGGGGAGTCTTAAGGATATGAATGTAATTGGGCAAAAAGGGGGCGCGCGTAGGGAACTCACGTCAGAAGGGACCAGGACATTGTGGGCGACGGGTTACGGGGAAGTCCCTCCGTGGTGGAGGCGATCCCGAGAAGTTAGGCCGTCGGGGGCCGCCACGTGGCGCAGGTCGCCACGGACCTTGGTTGGGCCTTCGGAATTCATGAGTTCTCTGCTCACCGCGACGTCGACAATTTACGCAAAATGAATTGGGCCAATAGGGGGCTATGGCCGGCCACGGAACGACGCCGAGTTGATGATACGGGAGAAGGAGGCGGAAGGGAGGGAAGCTGGTGGTAATCTCAACGAATCCGGGGTGAATGAAGTAGTAGATGTGGTCAGGAGAAGGAAAATTGGAGCACCGAGGGTCGCTAGAGGTGGCGCAACGGAATTCCCTCAGACATAATCGATTCTCTGTGTGACAGGGATATCGTGTCCTTATGAGCTCGTTTATTATGAGGGTGAAATAATCCGGATAGTAAGACGAATCTGAGTTCCAAGATCACGTCATGGTGTCATCGTGTACGGGAATCGCCACCGCGCACGAGCACGTGTGGGTCCGGCGAATCTAGCGGCGCCCCGGCGTGCTCGTACGGGACGATGGTTCTGTCGCGGGTCTTGTTTGGGTGGCGAATCGTCGCACGGGAATGCGTGTAAGGATGCGACTCGGATCGCGTTTACACGTGTTCTCGCGCGGTGTTCGTGGGGCCCGACTTTGGATCGCCTAATTGCCTCGTAAGTTTCAGTTATGCAAGATGCAACCATACCACGACCTCATCGTGAGACAAGCGAAAACGAAAACAAAATCACTGTCGGGGCCAGATTCTTATCCCATCTATAGCTGCATCCAGTGTGGGCAAAGATTCGACACGGACAGAAAGCAAGGACAAAGATTCTCAACAAAAAGATGTACAGACAGGCATAACGTTCTCACATCCACACATTTATACATCCATACGTTCGATATTCATACACATAATGCAATCAGGACAGACATAGCACAAACAAGTGTGAGCAAAATCCCAAGCCAGAATTCAGAAAGCCGAAACGAAAAATAAGAACGGGCATCCGCTCGGAGCCGCAATCAAAATGTATGTACACAGATGAAGAGGGAGAAGAGACAAAGAAACAGCAAACCCGCCTCCATCGACCTCAACTCTCTCTCTCCTCCTCTCTTCTTCTCCGATGCGGACAGTCTGTCGTCACGCACCAACCCACGAAGTCGTCACCCCGCTTAGTCCTTCCGCGCCCGTCGGACTCGCCCATGCCCACAGTCCGTCGTGGCCCACGTCAATCCCGCGCGTTCGGCACCAGCCCGTCGGGTCGCCCAACTTCTACTCTACTCACCTCTTACTTCGCTCGTGTGCCGACCCTTCCTGATCGCGCAACCCCGAGCTTCCAACAACGGATTAAGAGAGCTGACTAATCGCGCAGCCGAAATTTATAGC